TTGGATTAAACAATTTCTCAGTTTCTCTTGCTCATTATTATCATTGCCAGTGACGATAATATCGTCCACATAAACAATCAATGCTGTTACTCCCCCTGTAGTAGAATGTTTTATAAACAATGTATGATCTCCTATACTTTGTTTATAGTTCATCTTCCTCATGACTTGAGAAAATCTACCAAACCATGCCCTAGGAGATTGCTTTAACCCATACAACGTCTTTTTTAATTTACAAACTTTATTTCCTGCTTGCTAATATCCAGGTAGAATCTCCATATAAATTTCTTCTTCAAGATCACCATGTAGAAAAGCATTTTTTACATCATATTGTAACATGTCCCATCCATGATTTACAGCAAGAGATAGAAGTATTCGTACTGTGTTCATCTTGGCAACAGGCGCAAAGGTTTCAAGGTAATCAACTCCATATGTTTGAGTATATCCCTTAGCAACCAACCGTGCTTTGTACCTCTCGAGTGTTCCATCTGCTTTATACTTTACAGTATATATCCATCGACATCCTACAGCTTTCTTATCTTTAGACATAGTAACCAACTCCCATGTTTTATTTTTTTCTAAAGCTTGCATTTCAAGATTCATTGCTTGCCTCCATTCTTCGTGTTGTATTGCCTCCATATATGTTTTTGGAATATTTATCTGAGTAAGGTTAACTATAAAACTTCTGTACTGACTTGAGAGTTTGTGATATGATACAAAGTGAGACAATGGATATTGAGTACAAGTCCATTTTCCCTTTCTTAAAGCAATCGACAAATCCAGGTCTAACTCATCATCAGTAGATATTGTAATGTCTGACTCATTATTAGTAGATACTATAATGTCTGATTCATCATTAATTATTTTCTCGTCAATTTCAGTTACAGGGATATGTTCAGACTCTTGGACGTGCTTATCTTTTTCAGTGTTCCTTCTTGAATAAACCTGTAATGGTGTAGTAGTAGAAGGGTTAGATGGTCCTAGTAAGGTGTCTAAGGGTGGTGGTAAAGGATTTGATATCGGCAATGTGAGGTTGGGAATGGGCAAATCCTTATCTTCCAATAATAGTTCCTCCCCCTGAAGATAAGGTGAGGAAAAGAAGCTGGTGTCTTCATAAAAGGTAACATCAGCAGAGATGAAGAACCTTTTTGAAGGAGGATGATAGCATTTATATCCCTTTTGAGTGTTCGAGTATCCGACAAAAATACACTTGAGTGCTTGTGGATCAAGTTTACCTCGCTGATGACTGTAAACATGAACAAAGGCTACACAACCAAATACTCGAGGAGTCAAGTTATTTGTTGTTCGAAAATCAGGATAATATTTTGATAGGATATTCATAGGAGTTCTATGGTCTAGAGTAGCAGATGGTAACCGATTGACTAAATAAGTGGATGTTAACACAGCTTCCCCCAGAAGGATTTAGGAACATTTCTTTGAAAAAGAATGGCACGTGTTACAGAAAGGATGTGACCAATTTTTCTTTCGGCCACTTCATTCTGTTGAGGAGTGTCCACACAAGACGACTCATGGATGACTCCATGTTTTTGAAAGAAGGATGTTAAGTTTTCATTTATGTAATCTCGAGCATTGTCAGAACGGAATCGTTTGGGTTTGATTCCGAATTGGTTTTCTATCATATGAAAGAATGTTTGAATGGTAGAACCAACATCAGATTTTTGTTTTAAAAGATAAACCCATGAGACTCAAGTACAGTCATCGATGAATACAATAAACCAACGAAATTTGGAAACATTTGGAACGTTGGAGGGACCCCACACATCAGTATGAATAAGAGAGAAGGGAACTGATATTCGTTTATTATTACTAGGGAATGGTACACGCTTGTGTTTAGCGAATTCACAAACTTCACAGTGAATTGACTCAGGATTAAGATTTGGAATAAATCGGGAAACAATATTTTAAGAGTTCGAAATGAAGGATGTCCTAGTCTATAATGATTCAACAAAAGCTTACTTGAAGGATGATGAGATTGTGAGGTGAACGAGACTGGAACACTAGTCTAACCGACAAGCTCATTAAGATAATAAAGTCCATCTTTTTCATTAGCAATTCCAATAATCTTCCCATTGCCCTGGTCCTGTAAAATACAAGAAGAATCAGAAAAAGTTACTCTGCAACCTAAATCTTTGATCAAATTCTTTACCAATATCAAATTAACAGTTAAACGTGGTATATGAAGCACATTCTTTAGAGTAATGTTTGAATTTATCTTGATGTCTCCTTGACCAGCTACTGTTACCAAGGTACCATCTGCTGTAGAAATTTTCTTATTGCTCGGACAAATAC